GGGGGGGGGGGGGGGGGGGGGGTGAGCCTCCCACGCCCCTCCCCCTTGGATCCGCCGATGCAATGATGCAGATAATAAATATACCTGGACAGGGAGGGCTAAACATAAAGCTCTTAGCGCCTTCAAACAGCCAGTGAGAACGCGAAGGGGAGCTTTCCGTTCGTTGAGGATGCTTATGAGGAGTCGGAGCAAGGATGCGCTGCCTGTTCGCAATGGATCGTTGGCTCCCAAGAATCTAACCACGTCAGGCTGACGTAAGCTGTGGGTGAGCTGGTCCAACCCGCGCCCTCTCTGTCGCCAATCATCCTGCACATATGAATTTTATTTAGGTTTAGTCAAGGGAAAATAATAGAAAAATTACCAGTGGCCTGGCGTGAATTGCGATATATCGATTGCTATGCCATTTAAACCTATGGAAAAAGATCGATTATCAGGGTGTTCACAGCGAACACCTTAGTAATCGATTCTTTACCATAGCTTCAAATGGCGAGATATCGATAATCGATTATTCACGCCACGCCACTGAAAATTACAGAAAAACGAACACAGAGTTCGCGTATAATTCTGCCGTGCCAAGGAAGAACGCCGTATGAGCCTTCAGACGTTGCCAAGGTTCCTCCGCTAAAAACCAAATTTACTAGGAAAATTGCGAATATTGTTTTCCAAAATTTTCAGACAATTTTGTACGCAATTTAATCTAAAATATCGGAACATTTCAAAGAAAAAAAAAACATGAATGTCATCAAAATTACATGTTTTATCGAGAGAAATTTGGCAACTCTCGAATGTTCATACAATAAGCAAAAATAAGCTTAACCTCCCTCAAAAATACATGTTTTATCCAGAGAAATGAGGCAACTCTCGAATGTTCATACGGCGTTCCTCCTTAATTGCACGGCGGAATAATCGGAGTGGAATGTTATATGGACGTATCGATGCTTGAGGAAGCTGTACACAAATGATTAAATCAAAAAGAACTGTGCACACAGGATTTCCGTGTCTCGTCCTTCCGTTTGACTCAGTTCATTAGCGCATAGTTCTCTATTGTATGAATACATCGACCATACTCATAAATACACAGTAAATCGGCAAACACTCGAAGTAAGTCGTAACAACGTCTTGATGCAACTATTCGTGTTCTTGGGATGCGCTTGTTGCATTCGCAAAAAATGAAGGCGCGCGAAGAGGCGTATCTTGTCGATTGCTAATATGTTTGGAAGACCTTTGATCGGAGGGTAAGAGCCGTGGTGGAGTTCTAATTCCACGACGCTTTGTTAGGTGAGATCCTATTGGAAGTCACAACTTTTTTTAGGTTTATCTAATTTAGGTATAGGTAAAACCCCTTGATTAGTTGCGAAAATCACACACACCTCTTCTTCTCCTTTCTTTTCCTCTAAAAACTCGAATGTTTATAATTTCACCTGTATTATTACATGACGGCTCCAAATCAAAACCACGCATATTTGTGAGAGTAATTCACGGAGGTGCAAGCTCAGGGTGGTAAGATAAAATTCAAAAGCGGAGTACCCGTTACTTTCACACTTATAAAGCAACCTTTTCTTGTTCCCTTCAATAGGAACCCGGAACTATTTCTTGATGCATAAAAATCCCGCCTTAACAGCGGTGTTCATTACTTCTTGTTCGCAGGTACGTCTTTTGTCGCGCATAGGGAAGACGCCGTATGAACATTTGAGCGTTGCTAAATTTCCTCCAATAATATATTAATTCTTAAAATGAATTATGAATATTTCTCTTGAAATCTTCAGACAATTGAGATCTGATTGCGGATAAAATTCTCTGGAAAATTCGAGGAAAAATGTTAACAGATTTCGCGGAAAATTCGTAATTGAAACTAATGAAATTTGGCAACGTCTGAAGGCTCATACAGCGTTTCCGTGTTGTCAGTGACAGCATAGTTTTCTACGCTCGTATTTTTAAGTGTTGCAGAAAAGTAACGCGCCTTCATTTTTTGAGTATGCAATGCGGACATCCCTCGAGCACGTACAGTTGTATTCAAGCGCTGTCATCAAAGTCTCGCCCGTAAGGTCGCGCGTTTATTGGACGCGATTGATTGTGATGTGATGCACTTTCTTGACGAAAACGACTTAGTTTGTCGGCCAGTTAGTCGGCATAATTGTTAACTGTAAATTAAATGTTCTTGGCTTTACCCTCCAGTGGGCCAAACAGAATACGATTTTACGGTAAATATCTAGGACGTACAAATCCACGGTTACACAAACTTCTTAACGACTCTTTTAAAATTTTGAAGGCTCATCTCGTAATGCACTGCTGTCAGCGTTCTCATTAAGCTTGACCCTATTTAAACACCTTGAGCTAAGGAAATCCGAGCATAGACGAGCCTAACATTCCTCGAAGGCGTTATATGTCCTCCGAACTGGGAGTGTTATCTGGAGCAAGATCCAATTATTCAACTTGAAACTTGGGCCATAAATTCATTTGGTATTCGGGGACGCGCACGGTGTGATTACGAAGGGCGGTCGTTAAAAGAATTATATTCAAAAATTGAGGTTTTCATTACTTGTTCCGAGCATTTTTGCATTCCTCCCGTTCGAGGTGAGGGCGAGCTCGAAAACAGAGGGGTGAAAATAATAGCGTGATTTCGAATGAGGTCACCCAACTTATTATGCCTCCTGTTAGGGTCAAAGGTCTCGTCTCGGACATCCATCTTTTTACGGGCTCCTCAATTTCTTGGGTCTTGGTGTGTCCGATCTGAGACATACATGGAGTGTAGGCGTGACGCCTTAAAGCTGTTGTTTCCCTGAATTCCGAAAATATGGAGAATTCAAGTACCATCTTTAGGGCGAATTTTTCAACAATGTTGCTCTTTCAAATCACATTATTTGAACCAAATTTTTTCAATAAGGAAATGCTATTTTTGGCTCATCCACAAAAGTACCCATCTGCACGAAGAATCAAATTACTCATACTGTTTTTAAAATGAACAGGACATATTAGTAACAAAACTGGATTCGCAGTTAATTTTATTCTATTTCATCTACAGTTTTTAATATATGGGGTTTTAAACATTATCTCTTATGAGCATTCGGAGTCCTCTAAAAAACTCCGAAAAAAGAGTCAAGTTAACACTAGCAGACACTGTCTTTCGGATTAGAAAGAAAACGGTAAATACATTTTTAGATACTATTCTTCTGAGGTAGATATCGACAAAGGTAAGGAAACAATCAAACTCACACTCGAAATTCAGGGCTCTGACGTGCGATTTAGTTCTAATTTTAATTTCAATGTTTCTTCATTGAGAATTCATTTTCGTTGCTGAAAGCGGATTAAAAGTCAAAGGCACAACCATAAATTTGACCCTCATTCTTTAAATTTCAACATTTTCAAGAGGTGGTCTGAAATAATAACCGCACGGTTTGCTTTAAAAAAGATTCTGACACCAACAATAACTGATGAACGCTGAAGGCCGTCATAAGAGTAACAACATGGTTTTAGACCATCCGCGGTGTGTTGGATGGGCTCTTTTCGAGACAATCGAATTAGCTTCACGCTGAATAACGACGTATATGCCATTGAACATGAAAAACTTTACGTAGAACCCGGCTCCACAAAAAACCCCTGACCGTTGACGAAATTCTCTGACTTTTCCCTGATTTTTCCCGGTTTCCTCGGTCGCTAGCCACTCTGCTTTCATAATTTGACAACGTAGATGCCATGTAACTCGAGGAAATTTTGGTGAAAAGCAGAGTCAGGTATCCTACGAGGAACTTGAATATTTGCCTCCCTATTGTGATCGCCTCTGCCTATCTCACGAAATGCAGGCGGAACATTGTCATTTATATCGCTCAGTATGCGATGGGTAGTTACTTTTACCTCTCTTACGAGCCCGACGGCAACGGGCCTTGTGATCAGAAGGAACCACGTGTAAATTAATCATAAAGAAAAGGGAACTGTGAAGTACGCACGTATTGTGTAAATAGCTCATTTTAATCAGTGGCGAGGCCTGAATGATCGATTATCGATAATTCTCCGCATAAAACTATGGTGAAGAATCGATTATCAACGTGTTTGTCGCGAGCACCCTGTTTACCGATCCTTTTCCATAGGTTTAAATGGTTGATCAATCGATATATCGCAAAGCACGCCACGCCACTGCTTCCAATTTATTATAAACTTCAGATAGTTTTTGGTAGCATAGACACGTCCAATTTGTCGTTTCTTAATCAAAAGAACGTAACTATATTTTAACTTTGCAAAATTTCCTCTATGAAATCGGATTTTTACTTGAAAACTTTTGGGCACTTCTAACTGAAAATTTCACGGATTTTTCTTCTGATCACAGGGAAAAATCAGCAAAATTTTCATTAGAAATCGAAAGTCATTCTCGCGTAAAACAGTGGATTGTTTGCAGTTTCATTCAATTCTCCTACACTACTCAATAGAGCTGTCTGCGGGAGACAACGAACTATCTCTTAGCACTACCGGCTCGACTATCTTACTCTTCAACTACATAAAACCATAGGAGGACTGCATTTTGCAATTTGGAACTATAAATTTTGGCTCTTCTGGAAAAACACTTACGTGCATAGGAAAACTAATGGCACATACGTTGTTTTTAAACCGGGTTAGAATTTATAGTTCCAAATTGCAAAATGAAGTCCAAGAGTAAGGCGTAACGCATGACGCTGAAGACGCGAAGCGCTCGAAAGGGTTGAACCGCGAAGCGGAGGTGTATCCCTCCCCCCCGGGGTGGGGGAGTAATGAAAATTGTGGGAGTCGAGCTTTAAAGTTCACCGGACGACGGGTGTCCGCGGCTCAAGGTCATCCCCGAAAGGATGAATCGGGAATAGACAACAATTGCGAGGGTGACGGAAGCGGTTGGTCAGCTGTGTTTGAAGTGCAAAGGGGGTCGTTCACCCGGACGAACGTATAAAAATGAAGAGTCAATCAATATACCTATCGCGTAACGAGAGTGACAAAGAGGAGTAGCTCATCCTCGGAAGTGGCGGCTGACTAGTTACAACGTCGCACAGTGGATCGAGTCAATAGGGGAGTTCGGACAAAATTAGGAAACTTTAAAAGCTTGCAACTCCGTTCATACAAAACTTTGAGGCTCTAAAAGTGGGCTCATCGGTTTCCTCGTAAAATTTTCTTCTGGAAGCACCCCTAAAAATTCAAAATGTGACGAAATGAACATAAAAATTTGTACTTTAAGTCAAAAATTTCATGTCCGACCTCTCTGATTGACTTGATCCTCTGTGCGTCGTTGCCGATTGGCACAAATTCTCTCGTAGGTTTTCTGATAAGTCCGAAATTCTTGTTATATC